TACGCCATCTTTTGAAAAATCGACACGATTAATTCCCAGACCCAATATATGGAATGGTAAGAATGAAATTTAAAATTGAAATGGAACTTTAATCTTACCGCCCATTATTCCTGCCTTTGCTTTGGCTAAAAACCCAGGTCCGCCTTCAATTTGCTTCATGTTGAAAATTGTGACCGCATAAAAGATAATTAGTTTGAATCAACAAAATTGAATGAATTGAAATAGAAGGTCAATTGATTTTTAGAACTGAAAAAAACTATTTGCAAAACTAAAATGTCGAGTAAAGAATACGATTCCTTATCATTTATTTCTTTTTTCCATCGTTTCGAAAAGTCAATTTGTATGAAAAATGAAAAGAATATTCTTCATATCATCGATCGACTCCATGCAAAAAAATACATGAAAAATTGTAAGTTACCATGAATCGGTCTCCCAAAACCGCAACCAAAATCAAACAAACTAAACGGAGAGAAAATATTGATTAAAACACAACAAGTGAATGAAATCTTAAGTATTGACCGGAATGAAAATTAGAAAAAAATTAAGGAAAAAAGAGCTAAGAAGAGACTCACCCATCAATTGCTTAGACATGTTTCTAGTCGAATCACTTGAACAATAACTAAATTTCTACGATTTTGATGCCTCATTTATAGTCAAATATTAGATCTTGTAATCTTGTCGTTACTATGCCACGTACAGCAAAACGAAATTCCTTACGACTGAAAACGAAAACAAATTATTTGAAAAAATGTTTTTAATTCGGGCTTCTTGCGTCAATTTTCGCGTTTTGTTATTGTGATAGGTGCAAATGTTTGGATATGTAAATGAACTCGTATTGACGCAAGGGAGTTTGCGCATGCAAACCACATGAGTAACACATTTTTCTGAAACTTATTTATTTTCGAACTCAGTGAACGTACCATTAAGTGTCCTTGTGTGAATTCTCGCTTGTTCATTACACAGGTGCAGAATCAGACATTCCGTATGGCTGCATATTGAGCTGA